TGGATGATGGCTCCCTTTGCCTCATCCCACCCCCCGTCTGCTGAGACTTCCTGACACAGCACATGGGCTTCTGCTCAGGCCAGGCAGTGATTTATGCCTCATGATAGCTGTATTGCCATCGTATGACAGCCAGACAGTCAGGTATCTGGAAGGACACCATTAGACAGCGCAGTTACCTCCCAGGTCTGCCATCTCTCTATTGTTGAGACAGAGGGCTTTTGCTAAGTGCTAGCATCATGGCTTTGAGACTCCTCCTCCTAGAAACTCTTCATCCCTCTCTATGTTCCCTTCTCTTCAGTGAACGAAGCACAGACTCATTGGAGATCCCAGCTGGAAATGCAGCCATGTGTTTGACTCCTCATCCCGTGTCCTCTACATCTAACCAGCCCGACTGCCACCAGCTGTATGAGACCCGCCTCATCCACACACATTTGTCTTGCTATCCCGAGGGTCTCTTATCTGAATTGCTTTTCCAGACTCTTGCTTTCCTGCCAACATTACAGTTTGTTTGACTAAGGACTATGCCTTTCAAGGGACTCTTGATGGCTGTTTAACCCAGCAGTGATGAGTTGCGCCTCTGTGCACACTATCCTACTTAACAGGTTTTCCATTTTGCATTTAGCAAGTTTTTTTAGAACAAATCTGATCACACTTTTCTTTAAAAACCTTCCATGGCTCCCCGTGGCTCATGCGACACTCAGGCAGCTCTTCAGAACCTGGGCCCTTTACTGACCACACTTGCTTCACCCCACTTCTCGACCTCCATAGATGCTTCCAGACAGACTCCTATGTCCTCTGTGCCAGCTTAAACCAGTGTGAACTGCTACCTCCCTCCAGGTCATTTTGCTGGAAGAGTAGCCCTGTACCTGTACGAGTAGAAGCTAGTTGCTATAACAAAGCCTCCCACTGCCTCAAGTATCACTTCTCCATGTACCCCCTAATCCCTCTCTCACATGCTACTATCGTTCAAATCCGCCCTCCATGTCAAGAGCGAGCAGGCTTTCACCAGATGTTGGAGTCATGGTTTGGCCACTTTCCACCAATCAGCATCATTGGCCACACAAACCTCTCCTTTCAGACATTGCATTGCCTAGCATCAGACCTCTTACGGTAACACAGAGCAGATTTGAACAGCCACCATCTAGGCCAGCTTTTCAAGCTGTGGTTCGCGGCCCTTTGGGGGTGGTCATAGACCCTTTCACATGGGTCACTTAAGACCATCAGAAATTACAGATATTTACATTATGGTTCTTAAAAGTAGCAAAATTACAACTATGAAGTAGGAACAAAAACAATTTTATAGTTGGGGGTCACTACAACATGAAGAACTGTATTAAAGGGTCACAGCATTAGGAAGGTTGAAAACCACTGATTTAGGTGGTTATTCCAAAATAGCCCTAAACTTCCTAGTGGAGTTGAGTATGTGGGGGGGGGGCTGACTGGGCACACACAAGGAGGCAAACAGCTCATTCTCATTAGTCACAGCCTAATAAATAACCAAGTGCTCTCCGACGTGAGCCGAGTGGGAATTTCAGTTGTTATGTGCTTAATGCAATAAACTGGAGCATGCTCAATCTAGGTTTGTGACATATGATTCTAAAACAGTCATTGTTTCCTGACAACACGAGTCACTCAGGAACATGTTAAATGGCTAAGAACTTAATTTTTGTGTTCTCCTGCTTCTGTTGTTTGATTTTTTTTTTTTCATTTTATGTTTGTACAGTTCTCAGGTTTGGAGATTTACCACAATTTCTGGTGGATCTAATGTTATAGATGTTGATATGTGATGTGACATGCAGTTTCTATTCATGGGCTTTCTGGTTTACATTTGCTTCTTGATCACATCAGCAGTGATCCCATGAATCGTCTCATCTTTCCTGTCTTCATCATGCATTCATTAGCCGTCCCCGTCGATTTTTTACTGTGTCCTCTCTTCTTGAACTCTTTGTTCCTGTTCATTTTTTCTGAGCACAGCATTTTCAGGAGTGGTTTTGTTGTTGTTGTTTATCTTTCTGTTTCTCCCAGGATGGGTATAATTTTTAAAGAGTCATCACCCAACTCAGGGGCACCTGGGTTTCTTCCTATGAGTTTGAGTTAAGTTTTATGAAAAGTGTAAGGTCTGGGTCTAGAATCCCACCCCTCCCATTTTTTTGCATATGACGATCCAGGCCACCATTTTTTTTTCTCCATTTTCTCTATGAGTACTGAGAGGAACAACTGAACCTTTTCTTAAAACTGCTGCGCTTTCTGTTCCCTGATCTTCCCAGATTCCACTCTTTGATTGTCTCTAACTCGGTGCATAGATTTTACCTGGTTCTTTCTAGATTTCCTCGTTCTTATGAACAAATACTGACTGCTCTGGTTTCCTTTAGAAGCATGAAGCAGATACTTTTTAAAAACTTAAGTGTTTAAAAGTAAAATGTATAAGCCTGTAGTCAGTACGCCCATCATTCCCCAATGGAGAATCAGCAGCTACACTACACAGCTAAGGGATGTCCAAAAGTGTCCCAATCTGAACAATGCATTCCACGGTCACTCTATACGAAGCTTGGGCATATTCCTACAAGGTTCAGCCCTGTTCATATGCTCTCTTCAGAGTTTTTTTTTATTTATTTTTTATTTTTCCATTCAAAAAATTTACACTTCCTCCCCTACTCCCATTCCCCTTTCACTCCCCCCTCCCCTCCCCCCTCCCCCTCCCTCCTTAAGAGAGGGCAGGAAACCCTGCCCTGTGGAAAGCCCAAGCCCCCCCCTCCACACACACACACACACATCCAGTCCTAGGAAGCTTTGCATCCAAATAGACAAATAGCCTAGGGTCCCAAAAAGCCAGTACAAGCGGTAGAAACAAGTCCCAGTGCCTTCAATTAGTAATTAGTCTTCATTTTCTCAGTGTGCACCTCACTCCTAGCTCACCCCCTACACACAGCCCCATGGGTTAAAACACTCAGAGTCCCCATTTGACTAAGAAGAAAAGCGGATGTCCACGCTGATAGGAGCATTCTGTGCTTTCCGCGTTTGGATCCTGGAGGCAGGAGAAGAAAGAGCAGTATGCCTGTGCTGAGGGCCCTCGGCTTTCTGCACCTTCCCAGCCTTAAGCGGGGAACAGAAGCAGACAAACAGCACCTACAGGAGAGGTTCTCAACCTTCATCATGCTGTGACCCTCTTGTACAGTTCCTCATCTTGTGGAGACCCCCCCCCATAAAATTATTTTTGTTGCTACTTCATAACTGTAATTTTGCTTCTCTGAATCATAATGTAAATATCTACGTTTTCTGGTGGCCTTAGGTGACCCCTGTGAAAGGGTCTATGGACCCCAAAGGGGTTGTGACTCTTAGGTTGAAAACAGTTGATCTAGAGGACAATAGCGGGACTCACTGTGACAGTCAAGGACAAAGAGATAGTGTAAAAAGGGATAAACGTAGAAGATGCTAGTAAAATTACCAAAATCTGACCAGGTCACCAATGCATGTGCTCTCTCACCTGTGCCCCAGATCCTCTTCCACCTGTAAGTGACCACTTTAGGGTATCAGCCAGAGGGTAGGACCAGGCAAAGGGCAGGTAACTGCAAGCTCACTGACTAAGCTGAAGCTCCCTTCAACATGGTAGAGGAGAAGCTTGGAACATCCAAGCAAGCAGGCTGTCTAGGAGAGGCAGGGGGCTCGTTCTGGTACTTCTAGGTTGAGATTCGGCTTAGCAGAAATGTCCATAACTGTTCACCAGGGTGATGCTCTTCATTTGTTTCGTGGCTGTTCAGTGCTAGGACAGAACCTGGGGCCTAGGAGCCGTGAGGCAGGCGATTTACTACTGAGTTACCTCATGTTTTTAGAAACTACATCATCTACACTTCCATACTTATTGGGGATGGTGAGCACACACAGACAAAAGAGGATGCACCTTCCCCCGTGGAAGTCCTGGGAGTTGAACTCAGGTCCTCAGGTTTGGTGGCAAGTGCCTTTCCCAACTGAGCCATATCAGCAGTCCTTACAGTGTGTTTTCAAAAGCGCCATTAGCTCCTTACTTTTGTTTAACTCTACAAATTATGTAATTCTTTAGAAATGGGGCTTATTTGGTTGATGTTTCTTGGTTTCTTTTACACAGCGTAGTTCTTAAAAGCAGCTTGTTAGACTTTCGTAAGAAAATTTAAATGCCTGAACCAAAAGTAGGGAAGTATCCTGGAATCTTATGTTTTGAGAAGACAAAGCTCTCTAACGGGATAAATATTTTATATTTCTTGGTAAAATAATCAATATTAAGTGCTGCTTATTCTGTCAATGTTTAAAATACATTAGCTTGTTTATCTAAAGCCCACGGCTCTGCCTTTCCATTTTTAAAGGACAAATTAGTTTTGACACCAAACGAAAAGTTTTATGGGGACATAAAAAAGTTCAAAGCAAATAGGCTCTTTTGACCTAGTTTGAAGCAGTCACCTGGTAAGTCCACACAGGTTTGGTAAATACAGGTCTCTGGCCTTCCTCCCCATGAAGCGATGATTGGGATGAATAGGCACTGTTTCAGAGCCAGTGATTTTCCGTTTGGCCTCTTCCTTGCCCCTTACAGCTCTCCGAAATTTATGTCAGCTTGCCTTGGTCGCCATGTGAGTGGCACAGACTTAAGGGAGACAGTGACACTTATCCCCTAATGAAGACATGCTTCCCCTTGTGATGTGGACGGTTACGATGTTTGCTATGCTTGGTTGCCGGTGCCTAGCTTTAGGTTGTTTATACACAGAAAGCAACTTTCCCGTTCTCACGTGAAAATAAAGGAGACGGCATATTTCATAACCTTCCATTTCTCAAATCATATCTGGCGTACAGACAAATTCAAAGTCAAAAATCACCAAGTCAAATATTCGCAGACTTTACCATCAAAAGTAGCTGTTAGCGCGGATTGATTCATGCCTTTTAGTCGGAGACATTTCAGTTTTCCTTTCCCTTCCCAGTTTCCCCGACCACAGTTCCGCAATGTTCTTACCAACCTCTAGGTCTCTTCCGTAGTGCTGTGCCCTTCGCTTTGAAATCAGCGTGTAATACAGCCCCTTCGAGAAAACTGCCCTGGGGTGTGCGGTACAGGAGTCCCCCTTATCTGCGGTTTTGCTTTTGGCCATTTCAGTTACCCACAGCAAACAAGGACCTGAAAGGATCAAGTAGAAAATTCTAGTTTTAAGTTGGAAGCCACACGATGCAATCTCACATTGCCCTGCATGAGTCGCCCCTTTGTCCAGCACAGTGTGATGCCCACAAGCTGGTCACTTTGTCCTGGTTATAGGATTGACTGTCACAGCATTCAAGTATCTGCACCCATTTTACTTAGCAATGGATGACCCCAAAGCACAAAGGACAGCATATGATGGTATTTAAAGTCCGGCACTGCGTTGCTTAAGTGTAAAACAGCATTTATGGACTCAGACACTATCTGTGGTCTTGGGCATCCTGGGGTCCTGAAGTGGTTCCCCTAAGAGTAGAAGGCTTACTCTATATTGTCATCCTCACAAAATCTAGCTGTGATTTGTTTCTGGCCTCTTCTCGATGCACGTATATATGGAATCCATGTAAGGCCTGCTCTTCTACAGATTTAGTTACACGCTCTACAAGAGCATGGCTGTCATTTAGATGTTGGGACTTCATGTTCCTAAATCTGCTGCACACTTTCCCCTTCTCTGGTAGAACTGAATGTTTAGCTTTCATTATAGTTCTCATTTATTTAGTAATAGAATCTGGAGATATGACCAAGGATCAGACATCCACTTCTTGATTCTGAAGGTAAGGGGAAGAGAAAGTCAATAGAGACGGCTTTGAGGCGATCTTAGGAAATTCGCCATTTGGCCTTTCACTTCTCTCTCTCTCTGTCCCTCTCCTCTCTCCCTCCCTCCCTCCATCTCTCTCTCCCTCCCTTCTTCCTTCCCCAACTCTCTTTTCTGTCCCGAACATGAAATGATGTGGTTAGAATATGATGGCTACGCTTTGTGACAGACCCTGCAGAAATCCCTACCAGGGAGATGGCAGAGTAGAGATGGAGGCCAGAGTCCCTCATGCCTAGATAGAACCACCATTCCAAGGTAAGTTGCGCTGACTTCTTCTGTGTGCCATTGAGCATCCATCAAAAAAGCAGAATTATTAAGTTTCATGAACAAGCATGTAGGTGTGTGTGCTTGTGTGTGTGTGTGTGTGTGTGTGTGTGTGTGTGTCCTGCTAAATAGACTGGCCTAAAGCCGTGGTGGGAAATGGTCAGTCATATCTGTAACACTGTTTTCTAAGTGTCTGGTGCCAGAAACTGCAGACAGCTGAGAAGGACAAGTGATACAAGGTGGTGGAGAGAGGGCAGAGAGAAGTCTCTATCAAGACCTTCTCTGCAGCACTCATCAAATGCAACTAGTTTGGGACTCAAAGATGCTAAAAGAGGATCCAAGAGCAGCTATTGGCTCGGGTGCTGCCTCACTCCCATGAGGTCAGCACACACGCTGGTGATGCTCGCGCTGGTTATACAGTGGTGGTGACTGCACCGATACCTTCAAACCTCCCGAGTCTCCATGACTCACTCTAACTGAAAGTGCACATCTGGGGTAGGTACGATAATACCCAAAGCCACTATAAATTGAGTGTCATTAAATTGTCTCTTCTCTAAGTTATTTCATTTGAGACTGTGTTTATAATTGGCAACCAAATGAAATTTCTAACAGCTACTAAGTGATGGAGGAAGGTCATTGGTTAAATAAAGAAACTGCCTTGGCCCTGATAGGTTAGAATTTAGATAGGTGGAGTAAACAGAACAGAATGCTGGGAGGAAGAGGAAGTGAGCTCAGATGCCATGCAGCTCTCTCCAGGGCAGATGCGATGCAGCCAGCCACCAGGTCAGACATGCTGAATCTTTCCTGGTAAGCACACCTCATGGTGCTACATAGATTATTAGAAATGGGTTAAGAGGCTGAAACTAATGGGCCAGGCAGTGTTTAAAAGAGTACAATTGTGTGTTGTTATTTCGGGGTATAAGCCAGCCAGGTGGCTGGGAGCTGGGGCGGCAGGAATGCAGCCCGCAGCTCCCAAAAAAACTAAGCACTGGTTTGGGTTGCTCCAGGAGTTGATGGATTTGCTCAGTTTATAGATCACATGGGTACATTTCTTGACTATTGACAGGTAATATGACTACAAATGGAGAAAACACACTGCTATCATTCTGCTAAAAGAACATAGTAATAACATGACCCCTAATGACATACTGCTGTACGCATAGATCGGTGCCGGGTTCAGTTCGTGTTAGAAAAGCTTCTTCTTTCAACAGATGGGAACTCACACAGAGGCCCACAGCTGGGCCATGTACAGACAGTGCAAGACTTTTATATCCTTTTTCTGGTTTGGGGGGGAATATATTTCATTTTATTATTATTAATTCATACCATTCTATCATTATTTTCTTGAAAGTTATCAAAAATTCTTGCTTTACTTATTGTTGGCTTAACAATCTATTTCGATCACGTTCTTTCCCCTTCCCCATTCCCTACCTCCCTAGCTCCCTCCCCACTCAACTTCATGTTCTTTCTCTTCTTCTCTCAAACCCACCCCACCTCCTGGCAATCCAAATCCCCCTCAAAAATTAAAAAAAAAAAAACTTAAAGACAGACAGTTTAAAAAAGAGTACTCAAACAAAACAAATAGCTCACAGAAAGCATGGAGTGTTTCTGTTTTCCTGCTGACCACCTACTCCTGGGCCTGGGGCCTGCTCTGGAGTGTGGTTGATATTACCCAATGTCACTCCATTGGAGAAAACTGGTTTTCCCTCTCCCAGTAGGAATCAAGTACACAGAGCTTCTTAGTTGGGGGTGTGGTCCTTCTTCCCCTTCCCCTTCTGGCTCTCAGTTCTGGGGTTTGGCCTGGTTGGAACCTGGGCAGGTCTTGTGTGTGCTGCCACAGCTTCTGTGAATTCAGATGGGCAGCAGTCCTGCCGTCTCCAGAAGACAGTCTCCTTGGAGTCACCCACCCCTGGGGGCTCTTAGAATCTTTCTCCTCCTCTTCCTCTCAGCTCCCAGAGCCTTAGACGGAGGGGACTGTTAGAGACACCCTATGTGGGGCTGAGAGCTGCCAAGGCTCTTCTGCTCTGCACATTAGTCCTCTCTGCTCAGTGAGGCACTTATCTGTGGACTCGGCAGTATGCCGTTAGGAATCATTTTATTGCTACATTCCTTTGGCAGGATAACAGAAGTAGCTATTCCTCCCTTACAGTCATATGTTACCTATCAATAGCCAAAAAAAAAAAAAAAAATGTACCTCCACTCCTAAAAGACCTGGCTGAGGGAAATACGAGCTCATAGATAAAATTCTGGAATAGTCATTCCAAGATAAAAGAATAGTATCTATCATATGAATGCACTTGTGAGTGGCTTTCAGACATAAAGCACAGAAAACCAGCCTATGGTTCACAACCCCAGAGAACCTAGACAACAAAGGAGGACCCTAAGAGAGACATACATGGATCTAATCTCCATGGGAAGTAGAAAAAGATGAGCTCTCCTGAGTAAATTGGGAGATGGGGTTCATGGGACAGGGTAGAAGGGGAAAGGAGAGGAAGGGAGGGGAGAGGAGAAAAATATATAGCTCAATAAAAAACAATTTTTTTAAAAAAAGAATAGTATCATGATGATATAACTTTGAAGAATGTGATTGCTTTTACGCTTGGCATAATGTGTTGGTTATTGTCAACTTGACATACTATAGTCACCTGGGAAGAGGGAACCACTCAGTGAGCTGCCCCGGCCAGAGGTGGGCATCAGTGATTCCCTTGGAGGAGGCGAAATGGATGTCTATGACCGTTACAAGCACAGGTGATACAGGTTTTTCCCTGGCAGCAAGACAGACATGCTTTCCGGAGCCAAACTGGTAAGTCACTGGGGCAGAGTGACTCGCTTCAGGTTTTAGATTGCTTAGAAAACATGGTTTGAAACTCAGTTGAAGGAGCTGTTGAGTAAGTAACAGAAATTCAATTTAAACAGGAGGAATAACTCCACGACACCTATTGTATAGCACAGTAGTTTATAACAGTTTTATACACTTCACAACAGCCCCCCACACTCAAAAAAAAAACGAAAAAAAAAAAAGATTGTAAGTGTTCTAGCACCAGGCATGTGATGTAATGGGCACCTACCTTAATTTACTGGACTCAGCCAGTTCATCACTATACAGCCATATTTCAAAACGTTGTGTTGCATACTATAAATATACACAACATTTATTTCTCGGTTTAAAAAAAGACAAAGGATTATTAATTATTTGACGCTTTCACAAAAAGAGTACTTTTGTTGTTGTTGAGTTGGGTGTCTCTGAGTTCACACCAACCCCGAAACAGATGGAGCATTTATTCCCATGGCTCCTCGCCGCAGGCTCAGTGCACATGCCATCCAGGGCAATCTTTCAGATTTTCCCAGGACTGCACAACGCCCACCCGTCCAGCGGTCTTGTCCCCACCTCAGTTCTGCCTGTTCCTGAATCCCCTGGCCTCCTGGCTTCTCCAACACCCTGATCCCATCCAGTTTCTACTTTGTTAGTAGACGGGTACCTTATGCCGAGCAGCTAATTGAAAACAACCAAGGAACACAAAATGATCACCTGGTTTGCATGGTCAGCACCTAACCCAAATAATACCGATCCCTAAGGCGGCATTGGCGAACTTTCAGTTGAAGGATGCCTATTTGCCCTTGAACTTGTCAGGCAACAACCTCTAGTAGATAATAAATTTGCAACTGCAGCTCTTACACTGAATAGGTACTTGCTTCCAGTTAAAGTCCTCCACACACGAACAAATCATATTTATCAGCCTATTTGGTTGTTTAACACTCTGGGCTGCATTACCCTTCTGTGGTTTAGACTTTCGATTTTGAGCAGAGAGGCTAAGACAGTAACCAGATACAGTGACACTCCATCTAAGATATAAAGGATGGTACTCGGTGCTTTAGGGAAGTCGTGGGTTCAATTTATAATCTTAAATTATAATTCGATAATTTACATTCTACAATTTTTATTTTATGGATGTCACTCAGAAAGGATGCATAGCCTAAGATTAATCAAACACAATGGTCAGGCTTGGTTCAGGGCAGGGCAGGTCGGCTTGACTCCCTGAGTCCTGACCTATTTTTCCCTCACCAT